TAAAATCAGGATCTCCTCAGTTGCTAATAGCAATTCCCACCTTGGAGTTTACAAAGACTTATGGGTAGAAAAGCCACAGTATGTGAACTGCAGTATGAAACGTGAATTTGCTCTGTAAATTTTCACCCAGATCACAATAAAAAAAAAGAAAGAAAAATTTGCTGATGATAATTGAAAAACAGTTGCAGCAGTATATTGACAGGGTACTTCCTGGAATGCAAGGTGGATTCAGAAGAGGGCATATGAGGCATATCCCTCATATGTAATGAGGGATGTCAGATGGATCTTGGCTGAAAGCAAAAAACACCAGAAAGATGTTCACTTGTGTTATTGATTGTGCAATGGCATTTGATTGTGTGGATCATAACAAATTATGGATAACATCATGAAGAATGGGAATTCCAGAACACATAATTATGCTCATAAGGAACCTGTACATAGACCAAGAGGCTGTTATTCAAACAGAACAAGAGGATACTGCATGGTTTAAGATCAGGAAGGGCGTGCATCAAGGTTGTATCCTTTCACCATACTTTTTCAATCTGTATGCTAAGCAAATAATCCAAGAAGCCAGACTATATGAAGAAGAACTCAGCATCAGGATTGGAGAAGGACTCATTAGCAGTCTGCATTATGCAGATGACAGAACCTTGCTTGCTGAAAGTGAAGATGACTTGAAACACTTACTGATGAAGATTACAGTCTTCAGTATGGATTATACCTCAACATAAAGGACACAAAAATCCTCAGAACTGGACCAATAAGCATCATCATGATAAATGGAGAAAAGATTGAAGTTATCAGATATTTCATTTTATTTGAATCCACATCAACACCCATGGAAGCAGCATTCAAGAAATCAGACATCATGTTGCACTGGGCAAATCTGCTGCAAAAGACCTCTTTAAAGTGTAGAGCAAAAATTTCACTGTGAAGACTAAGGTGCACCTACAGGGATGAAATGGAAAGAGAGATATTATATTGTGGGGAATTGCATGCAGTCAATGTCATCAAACAAAGTATGTATGAACTTGCTGTATGGAAAATGAATTTGCTCTGTAAATTTTCACCTAAATCACACACAAAAAAATAAACTAAAAAAAAAAAACGGAGTACAGTTCTATGCTGACACATGTGGGGTTGCCAGGAGTCTAAGGCAATTCAATTGAAACTGGTTTTTCATTTTTCTATACCACAAAGACTCTGAGGATCAGAGAGGGCAGGTGGCTTAGCCTGGTGGCAGTAGGTCAGTGATAAAGCTGGACTGGAACCCAGGCCTCTCAATTGCTAGTCTAGGCCTTTTGATCCTTTGCTGTACTTCCTCTGCCCTGACTTGGCAAATTAACTTCCTTAAAATTGTGAGTGGGGATGCAACTTTTTAAAGAGAACTTGAACACAAACCAGGCAGTGATCCAGTCTGCAGAACTGCTGCCAATGTTGAGATTTCAGATGCAGACACAGCCTTCCTGGAGCTCTCAGGACAACTCACTTGGCTTACTCTGCTTCATTGACACTGGCCCCATGACAGCTAGGGTGTCTTTCTGCCACCTCCAGCCTCCTGCCTCCTTTTTGAGTCCCTCAACATTTTTTCCAAAGGGTGGAGAAGGTTTCAGGGCTCTGTGTGGCCTTTACATTTCAGGACTGAACAGCTTCTACCTCTAGGCCGCCAACACCCAAAGCCCTCATTCATTAAGCCTACATCTGACTAGTAAAGGCTGTGCCTCTGTCCACACCTCACAGATGGAGCACACAGCCCGCCTCACATAGCAGCTTTCCCTTCTTTGAAGCCAAGTCTGAACATTTCTGCCACTTCTCTTTATCTTCAAAATCAACCAAATCCCCCATAATCTTGTACACAAGAAATGTTAGTTCTCTTTCACCCTACACAATATCTCTATGCTTTCATGCTATTCTTTCATTCAATAGAGATAACTGACGTGCTTCTAGTATATACTTAAAAAAAAAAAAAAAAGGCTAAGGTGTGCCTAACCCAAGCCCAACTCAATGGCAGTGAGTTTGGTTTTTTTTGTTTTGGTTAATCCAAGCCATGGTATTTTCAGTCTCTTCATATGCATGTGAAAGCTGGACAATGAATAAGGAAGACCAAAGAAGAATTAATCCCTTTGAATTAATGATGTTGATGAAGAATACTGAAAATACCATGGACTGCCAGAAGAATGGACAAATCTGCCCTGGAAGAAGGGCAGCCAGAATGCTTCTTGGAAATGAGAATGGCCAGACATACTCTCATCTATTTTGGTCATGTCAGAAGGAACCATTCCCTGGAGAAGGCTATTATGCCTGGTAAAGTGGAGGGTCAGCGAACAAGGGGAAGACCCCTAATGAGATGGTTTGACAAAGTGGCTGCAATGATGGGCTCAAGTATAGCAAGTATTGTGAGGCTGGTGCAGGATCAGGCAGTGTTTCATTCTGATGTACATAGGGTCCCTATGAGTCAGAGCCAACTTGACGGCACCTAACAACAACAGCTTTGGTCTTGTTATCAGAAGGGACCAATCCCTGGAGAAGGATATCATTCTGGGTAAAGTAGAGGGTCAGCAATGAAAGGAAAGATCCTCAAGGAGACGGATTGACACAGCAGCCACAACAATTGGCTCAAGTATAACAAGGATCGTGTGAATGGCACATGACTGGGCAGTGTTTCATTCTCTTGTACATAGGGTCTCTGAGTCAGAGCCAACTCGATGGCAGTTAACAATAATAACAACCACATATGCCAGACAAGGAGCCCTGATGGTGCAGTTGTTAAAGTGTTCATCTGGTAATTGAAAGGTCAGCAGTTTGAACTCACCAGTTGCTTCATGGAAGAAAGAGGTGGCAGTCTACTTTCTTAAAGAGTCGCAGCATCAGAATCCCTATGGGGCAGTTCTACTCTGTCCTGTAGGTTCCCTATGAGTCAGAATCAACTCAATAACAATGAGTTTTCTTTGTTTCATTTTTTATATGCCAGACCCTGCACTTTTTGCTTTATATTTACATACATTATCTCATTTAATCCTTACAAAAACCCTCTGAAGAAGATTTTGTTGTCTACTTTTACTGATAAAGGAATTGGAACTCAGGTTATGTAACTTGTTTCAAATTACAAAGCTAGTAAATGGTGGGGTTTGAATCCACGTCTGTCTGATTCAAAGTTATTTTCCAGTTCACCACATTGTTATAGATGAATTTATGATATAATATTCTGTAAGGAGCTCTGGTGGCATAGTGTCTAAGGCATTTGACTGCTTAACTGGTATAAAGGGATGTTCTATAAGACAAAAGATGAAGGATAAGCCCCTAAACATTCTTCACTTTTTCTTAATTACCTATTATGAGTCCTTTTTTTTCTGTGGATTCATGAAAATCATGGCTCTTTGTTACTTATAGGATAAAGTAAAGATCCTGGGTCTGATGTTTCAAGACCCTCAACAGTGTGGCCTCTATCACTTCAATAGTACTGCCACTAATCTTAACAATCCTCATCCTTGGAGATGGATGCCTTCTCTGATTTTCAAATCACTTATTATCTCTACCTTTCATTGGCACTTTGTATGTGCAATATTTTATTATTGTTTATCTCATTTATATTTTCCATAACTCCAAAATATATGGTCAGCCTCTCAAGGTCAGGCATCTATTTGTGCTAACATTTTTTAAAAAATCATGACCTACATATTAAAAAACCAAACCCACTGCCATCCAGTTGATTCTGATTCATAGCTACTCTTTTTAGGGTAGAGTAGAACTGCCCCAAGGGTTTCCAATGCTGTAAATGTTTGTGGAAGCAGACTGCCCCCTCTATAGCCTTTGGGGCAGCTGGTGGGTTTGAGCCTATATATAGTATACTCTTAATAAATGTCGGGTGTTGATGAACAAGTTGAAGTTATCCTGTCTCAATTTTCTTCATAATTTCATGATTTCTTATCTATTCTCTTTTAAGTAGGAGCTCTGGTGGCATAGTGCCTAAGGCACTTGACTGCTAACCAGAAGGCTGGCAGTTCAAACCCACCAGCCACTCGTCGGAAGGAAGGTTCAGCAATCTACCTCCATAGTGATACTGCCTCAGAAACCCAAGGAGGGTCACTATGAGTCAGATTCGACTCGACAGCAGTACATTGCATTGCGTTTGCATCTCTTTTAAGTTTTTATCTTTGCAGACTGGAGAGTTTAATTAGTTTAGTCCATCTTCATATATGGCCCTTATGTTCATTGTTTTTCTCTGAATGGCCTCTAGGGTGATTGTTCTTCAAATAAAGATACTACTGAGTATTCGCATAGTGTGAGTGTTGGGGCAGGGTGTGAAGAAGAAATCAAGGACCTGATTAATCCAAAAAATGGATGATCAATGCTTAAATCATTGAGAATTTATTGCAGTATGAATACCTAAGCAGTATGGTCCTAGAAATTTATTTTTTTAATTCTATTCTTCCAATCAAGTGAGTCAGAAATTCTAAGCAAGGAAGAAAATAGTGAAAAAGTAGGGAAAATATGGTAGGCAAATTTAAAATCCCTCTATCCTAATGTTTCTGCTGACTAGCCGAGGAAGCCACGGATGGCCTGATGAACCTCAGTCCTTCAGCTATGAAGAACCTTCTTCATCACATTCTCAGTGGCAAGGAGTTTGGAGTGGAGCGAAGCGGTAAGGTTGAATAACTACCGTTCTATTTCAGGGTGTTTTTAAGTGTCATATTGGTTTTAAAATGTTTTTCTCTTATCACAGGGACCTTTTATCCTCAAGTAAATAGAACCCCAATATGTAAAACACTTAATAACAAAACTGTCTTCTGGAACAAAATTTAAAGACCACTGTATGTCTCTATTTTTTTCTTCCTTTAAATGATATATTAACTAAGTGGATTGGTTATGTTTCGGTTTTAATTGTTCCATCCTTTCCCTTACATTATCTTGTCTCCACTTTAGGACAAAACTGCTTCAACATAACACCCTTTAGAGTGACAACTTATATCATCTGAAACTTTCTTATATTCCAATTGGCAATAATTAAGTAGGGCATCCAGTGTTGAGTGTGTGCGTAGCTGCTACAGTATATCTGATGTATCCTTTCAACTTTAAGTTCTGATACATCTAGGAATATGTCACAAATTAATCTTCCACCTGCACTTGTAGTTCGAGTAGTGAAATAGAATGGTATTTTGTATCTAATACCTAAAATAGCAGAGCAAATGAAAAGGGTTATCTGACATGCACAACTTTTAGGCCTAGGACAAATAAGTATGTATTGTCAGAGGGATGGATTGTAGACCATATAGTGGTAAAACACAGTTATAAAGCAGTGCTTCTCAAGCCTTAATCTGGATAAAAATCACCAGGGGATTTTGCTAAAAAGACCACACTTTAAATAGCAATGTTATAGTTTGCTTTGCTTTTCTTTCCTTTTTTTTTTTTTAAATCAGATTAAAAATATAAGAACATCTACGTCCTTTTAATGTGGTAGGGGGTAAATCTGAACTTGATTATCCTTTCTCTTTATCTTTAATCTATCATGTTATAGTTCGTCCCATTGATTCAAATGTCAGCCCCGCTATTTCTATCCATGAGATTGGTGCTGTTGGAGCAACCAAAACAGAACGAACTGGAATCATGCAGTTAAAAAGTGAGATAAAGCAGGTAAGATACTTGGGGGATTGCTTGGGATATTGTCATGTTTAAGAACATTCTTTTGGAATCAGGCTTTATTGGGATCTTTGTTTTCATATCCCTGGTTTAAGATGAGCTATTTATTTTTCTGGTGGACTTTCATAGACTGCCTATCTCAGCTAAGAGTCAAGTGAAACAACTAGGGAATCCTTCAACCTAGGTTAAGCTCCCTTTAGTTCTATATAAAATGCATGTACTCTTGGCCATAAGATAACAAATAGCTTATTATTATTATTACTGTCCTTTATATCAATCATTTTGTACGTAGCTTTTTCTGGGCCAAACTATTTTGCTAATTTTAAGATGAAAGTAACTTACTTTTAATAACAAACAAAGTGAAACACTAAATTCCCAGTTAGGATCAACATTTAATTTTGAAGTTAATTTTTATGAAACTAGAGTTAGATTTTTTTTAGTTTTAAAAATAGATAGTAGAGAGGACACCATATTAAATGAGGGCCTTTTTTTAAAAGAAAAAATCTATTTGTCAGGTAATGTCGCAAAATTAGATTTTTATTACACTTATAATTGAAGAATAAGAAGGGTATTGGGGATATATATAGGAAAACCATGTCAATCAGTCTGAGTGTCAGTGGATGTTGCTAAATACCATGTAGTTTCTTACTCAGTTTTCCCTGCAGGTGAGAATAGATGAGTTGTTACATTACACAGAGAAATGTTGTTGTTATTGTTGTTATATGCCGTCGAGTCGGACCCAACTCATAGTGACCCTGCCTTGGGTTTCCAAGGCAGTATCTCTACAGAAGTAGGTTGCCCTGTCTTCCTTCCGAGGAGTGGGTGGTGGGTTTGAACTGCCAGCCTTCTGGTTAGCACTCAAGTGCCTTAGGCATTATGCTACCAGAGCTCCCCACACAGAGAAATAGTTAACATAAAATTCCATAATGTCTCGTTTTAAAATTCTGGCAAACCATATGATTTCAAAATTTCCAAGTTGAGAGAGTATGGATTCACTATCTCCTGATAGCACTTTTTTTTTTTTCTACAGCAGTTCACATATACTTTGTCTCATGTCATTGACCAAAGTTTACCACACTGCAACAGCTCCCATCCCACTTCCTCCCCATAGTTACCTCTTCCCAGTGTCCATCCCACCATACACTCCTGCCCCCTGAGCTGTCCCCCTGTAGATAAGCAGCCCTTCTTTCTCCCATGATTATGCTCTCCAAGGAGTGTATCTACTGAGGTAAATGTTTAACTCATATGCCTGTACTTTGTTTGGCTGGAAACCACAGGTGTGGGTTCAATTCCAGACCTGAAGGGCAGTTAGGGGCTATAGTCTCAGTGGTTCCACGAGGCCCTATCAGACCAGCAAACATGGTCCCCACTTTTTTTTTAAACCAAATGATTTTGAGTTTTGTTACACATTGTTCTCACTCTCTATCCAGTATCTCCTACATAGATCCCCTTCCAAGTGGATGACAGTGGTAGC